GGGGGCGGCCGCCCGCCCCGCCCGCCGCTGCCGCCTCCTCCTGCTCGTCCACGAATTTGTTCTCATCAAACTTGTCAGTGTGCCCCCGGCGGATGCGCGAGGACGGCGTGTTCCGGGCCACGGAGGGAGCTCGGCGCCTGCTCAGCCGGGCTCCAGCTCCTTCTCCGGACTGGAAGCCCCGTCCCCCGTGAGTTTTAAGCCACAGGTACCAGATTTGAACTGTGGTCGACTGACCACATGAGTGTCCAGCAACACAACTATTATACTATCTGCTAGTCCTCCAAGGGATCGTTGTTTTTTGTTGTTGTTGTTGTTGAGAGATTTTCACTATAGGGTGCGTCCGCTCGCCTGACAGACAGAGACATAGAGACAGAAATCACCCCCCCAGGGGGGATGGTCACGCTGCAATCCCTTCTCCTCCATTCTCCTCTCCGGATCTTGGGCACGCACGCATACGCGCCCGGCGTGAGTTTTAAACCACCGGGTTGGGGACACGAACTGCGGTGGGAGTCCAGCGACATAGCCATTACGCTAACTGCTGGTTCCCTAAGAGATCGTTTTAAAAAGAAAAGGGCCAGCAATGACCGTGGAGGTTAAGTCAGCCAGATCCCACATGGTCAACCTCACAGTTCAAGTCCCAGACCCAGTGACTTGAAAAACATGAGGGGTGGGACCAGCAGGTGGCACAGTGGCTGAGGCACTGGACTTCCACGTGGTCGACTGTGGTTGGAGACTTGGACCTGGTGGCTTGACACGCTGGGTGTGTGTGTGCGTACATGCCCAAAATCTTGAGGCTAAGGGAGGAAAAGGGATTGCAGCGTGGCTATTCCCCCTGGGGGGTAATTTCTTGCTTTCTGTCTCTCAAGTGCACATGTCCTATAGCAAAATCTCTCAAAAAAAAAAAAAAAAAAAAAGAAAGAAAGAAAAGAAAAGAAAAGAAAGAAAAAAAGAAAAAGAAAGAAAGAAAAGAAAAGAAAAAGAAAAATATGCCAGGAATATGTGCTTGCCCAAAATCCCAAAAGGAGAGGGAAGTGAAGAGGGGATGCAGCTGTGACTAAGCCTGGGGGGATGTTGCTTTTTCACTTTCCCTCTCTCTATCTCTCTATCTCTCTACACGAGCTCACGTGCCCTATAGCAAACTAAAAAATGAAACAAAACAAAAAAATAGGAGCAGGACCAGCAGTTGGTGGTTAAGGCGCTGGACATTCCCAAATGGCTGACCACGGTTCGAGTCCTGGACCTGGTAGCTTGCTTTCTCACTCTCTCTCTCTCTCTGGTCAAATGAAAATAAATGAATGAATAAATAAAATTAAAATGTTAAAGATCCCCCACCCCCCAAAAAAATATATAGGAACAACCGACAAGTATTTTCCTGTACCTCCTAAGCTCCAGGCAGCATGCTTGCTGACTCCATGATGACCCTGTGAGGTTGTGGAATTGTCTCCATTTCACGGGTGAGGAAACAGGCCCAGAGGGCTGGGGTTAGTCAGGTCATGGCTGTGTGTGTCACTCCCACTAAATCACATTTGATGTGGTTCCTGAGGTAACCAAGGGACAACTTCCTTCTCATGTCCACTGAGGATAAAACTTCCTACGATGACTTTCCAGTTCCTGAACTGCTTTACCAACTTCCCAGGCCTGGGGGAGGGAGGACCGTGCCTGCGATCTGCACCTGATGACGAAACGGCAGCTGGCACAGGAGCTGGGGGGCACAC